CATAGGGCCCTAGATCAGTTTAAACAAATCGTCCCCGGTCCCAATCAGCTCGGGGCATCCCTATTAATTTTAGACGTAATAATCAGGAATTGTCAGACAGAAACCTTTTTTTAATTATTATTGTCAACACTGTCGATAATGCCAACTAATTGTTTCACCCATAGTCTGTGGGTTTTACAAATTCTTAACCAATGAAAACTATTAAAAAGAGCTTGTGACTCAGTGTCAACAAAAGCTGACAGCTCCACCCTGAATGAAGTTCTGCACACAGTTTGGAGAGGTAAAGGGTAAATAAAGAACCGGTTCTTTGAACAAGTAAACACTCTCTCTATGAAGGCTAATGTTTTATGTATTTGAGGAGCAGAGAAGAATGCCTTATTTGCCATCTAGTCATAGCCAATACAGTCTTAAACAGCACTTCATCGATTATAACAATGTTTTGGCCAAATGTGCTCAATGACCTCAAGCACTTCTCAACAAACATGGTAAACAGCTTTTCTTTTGGGAACTGAATTCTATTATCAGAGTTCCAGCAAAATCCCAGCAGTTCTCAAACCAATTCCACACATTTGAAGAAATGCCTCCTCCTTTTAAAAACGTCAAGTCATGCAAAGTAGATTTAAGTGTCCTGGTTATTCTGAGCTGCAGTCTTCCTGTGCTTTGGATCAAGGAGATCTCACAGTTTCCGATTACTGAGCGTTTCTATTCACTGCTGTGAAGAGGGGAAAGTGATCTGCTGGAAAATGACGGTACGGCCGGAAGCAGAGCCGGTCTGGAGTTCATCTGGAGTCTCTGTGACCCCAGCTTCGGTTCACAAGCAGAAAACATGAAGAGTTTCACTCGGAGCTGCTGCGTTTTCTCTAGAAACGTCAAACAGGCAAAACAAACAGCCTGTCGACAAGCAGACAATCTGAATCATCTCACTGACTGAAGGACTGAGCGTTAGGCATGACGAGAAAGCTGAAAGATCACCATTAAAATACAGCCACAAAGCACAGGAAACTACGCGACAGAAGCTTCATTCTCACACGGCTGCAAAACACAACCGCCAGACGTGCAAGAGTCAAGCAGCTCTGTTCAGAGCAACCCACACTGCTTGATGACATTACTACACATCAGTATTTAGAAGAGCGGAATATGCTTTGTTGAATGATTATTTGTGGAAAGCACAGCCTAAATCTGAGAAGCTAAATGCGAGTGTGAAGAAAGTGTCTTTCTGCTGACGGTCCTCTCCGCACGTACTGTTAAAGGAAATCTGCCATCAAGTCATTCTAAACCAGTAAGACTGACTTACATTTATTCCTTCAGCAAATTAATTTTCCAAAGTTACAAATGAGAGACGTCACAAGCAATCGGTTCATGTCGAGTCTGAGTGACTGCCAGCAGAGAAATGTTTCGAGCTGCGAACGGTTTCAGATGCTTCAGTCCGATTTGATGAACTAGTTCACTAAAAAGTATCGGTTCAAAAGAACGATTCGTTCAAGGGCTTTGGACTGTTTGCCTGAGGCTCTGGATTACAGGTAATAATGCTGTAAATAATGTTCGTTTTCTTGCACAGACTGATCGTTTTGCTTCATATATCATCAGGAGCCATGGGCGGGGCTCCAGACTAATTTTGTGTGCGGTTGCACCGTGTTGTTCAACTCATAATAGTCGAATGCTATTACATTATTCATTTCAGGGTTTGAACAACTTTTTGAGAGAGAAAGTCAAACACATTTCAATGACTTTCAAGCATTTCACACAACTATTTCCAGCACTTTAAAGCTCTAAAATAATCTACTTTGAATGTTATTTTTAATGGGATGACCAAAATGTACTTTGTGATAACCAAACGCTTACGTAAAATAAAAAAATACATACAATCACCATTATAACCAGTAGATGGCAGCAAATGAGCACTTATTGGCTTATTAGTCATTCATTTCTACATTTTGTAGCTTAGTATTTTGAAATTATAAAATCACTATTATAAAATATCAAATCATCAAGAAATCAGATTTTGTCTGAGTTTTACACAGTTTTTCTGTATGAAGTAAGAAAAGTCACAAAGTGAAAAAAAAAAATAAATAAATACAACTTTTCTTCAATTTGCACATAATCACTGAAGTTGGTCAGTTCCATATAATACTATAGAAGTATAATGGTACATTTAATACTCGTGGAATATATAAAGTTTCTATATAAGAATTAGATTTTGCACATGTTACTGTTGTTAATAAAAGTACATTTTGTATGCTTCCCAACTCAAGCTTAAAGTGCTTTACTATCGAATGTGTATTAACATGAAATAAACAAGAAATGAGCATGCAATATTTTAGTAACTGTACTTATTAATGTAAACCAACAGTAATTTTATGATTACATGATCTGTATGTTTAATACTCCCACACACCAAATCTGCAGAACTAGCTCCAGCTCTCAAATGTTAGTCTGGATTTTGAATATGAAAACCAACATGACAAATACAAAGAGTACACTTTTAAAGAACTTTACATGTGCTTTAAATGGCATTTTGCAAAGATGTTCTTTATCTTGGGACACTTTTACCACTAACTCATGATTATCTGTAAATAAGTTACATTTTAGTCACACAAAGCTATCCTATAACTACTTAATTGTACTTTTTAAATATTTTGGAGTTTGACTCTTTATTTTTGGATGATCTAGCCCTTTAAAACAAGACAGCACTAGATAAATATTATATCATAATGATTCCTCAAGGAGCCGATTAACATTCACATACCAATCTAATGCAAACACTCCTCAAAGCGGAGTAAGCAGAATGAAAGCACATAATTAGACAAAACTGCTGTGTTTGTGCTACTAATGGCTCCCAAAGACGTTCACGCAAACAGCCTTTGAGAAACGATGGGACCGCATATACTAACACAATCACAACAGTGTATCATGAATCATAAATCATAACACCCAGTGCAGAAATACTGCTTTCCAAACATATAATGGTGCCTCAGTGGCAAAACTGTCTGAAAACATGCGACTCTGTGGCTCTAAATGGAACATCCCACTAACTAACACAAACTAACTAGACGTTTCATTTTAGAGGCCTCCATGCACACACACACGGGCTTATCTTCACCTGGAAAAGCTGATTAACTGTCCAGCTGAAATATCTCTCAGAAATCAGCCTTCCACACATCCACCGCTCCAGCAGACAAACAGAACCAACAATCCATAGATGGATAGATAGAGAGAGAGAGAGAGAGAGAGCATAAATCATAACACCCAGTGCAGAAATACTGCTTTCCAAACATATAATGGTGCCTCAGTGGCAAAACTGTCTGAAAACATGCGACTCTGTGGCTCTAAATGGATGTGACAGGACAGGAGCCGTCCAACACAAACATGATGCACAAATACTGAAGAATAAAGAGCTTGATGAGAATAAAAGAGCTCCTGCCACAGAAGTTATTTTGATATCAAAGTCACATTAAAAACATCAAGTGTTAAAACGTACTGACAGAGTAAACAGAGCATGCAACTGACAGCCAGTCCATCGCACTGAAGAATGATCACGTCTGTCTTCAATGGCTCATTACCTGAGGCTGTTAATTAGAGAGCTGAAGACTTAAAGGATTTCTGAAGCAAAGCCTTCAACACTGTGATGCTAAAGGATCCCGGAGACTCGGAGAGGTCAATTCAGTGCATGCTAATTGCTTGGCAGTCCTTGAAGAGACGACTGGTCACACACCTTTACATGTGCTGATGCAGACCGAGATAACTCACACATTACCATGAGAACCAGCAGACGCTTATGCAATAACGCACAGATGACTAGCTTTTTCTTTATTAATGGCTGTAAACAAGAGCATCACTACAGCTAGTGTCTGAAATCTACCTGTTTTACCATACTTCAGTGAGTTTTATGTCAGGAACATGTTTATCTTAGGAGATATTATTACATTAGTATTATTACATCCAAGAGTTTGAAAACACACTGAAAACCTGGAATTTTAAGAAAAATATCCTATTTAAGTCTCTGCATTATTAATAGCCCACTAATCAATAAACAAATGAATGGGTCAGATGTGATTTCTTCCACCAAAGCTCAAGACTGGATCATCTCCGATCCTGCAGGATTTAGCTCATGAAGCTCCACCAAACACCGAAACATCCCACTAACTAACACAAACTAACTAGACGTTTAATTTTAGAGGCCTCCATGCACACACACACGGGCTTATCTTCACCTGGAAAAGCTGATTAACTGTCCAGCTGAAATCTCTCTCAGAAATCAGCCTTCCACACATCCACCGCTCCAGCAGACAAACAGAACCAACAATCCATAGATGGATAGATAGAGAGAGAGAGAGAGAGAGAGAGAGAGAGGGATGGATGGATGGATGGATGGATGGATAGATAGATGGAGAGAAAGAGAGAGAGAGAGAGAGAGAGAGAGAGAGAGAGATGGATGGATGGAGAGAAAGAGAGAGAGAGAGAGATAGATAGATAGCCCTACTGTCCACCACAGTGACCCTCAGCCTGTGTGTGTGTTTATGTTAAACACTGTGGTATCAAATGTTCACACATGTTCTAATTTGTTACACTGTTTATTTAAGTTTAAATTGTTATAATGTTTTTCTTCTATTATTTTAATTGTTTAATTGTTATTATTGTTTCTTCCAAGCTTTGCCAATATTGATTTTTTTACAGTCAGATAGATAGATAGATAGATAGATAGATAGATAGATAGACAGTCAGATAGATAGATAGATAGATAGATAGATAGACAGACAGATAGATAGATAGATAGATAGACAGACAGATAGATAGACAGATGTTGCACACGTCTGGTTCAGACAAAGGCCGCTGTGAGGCTCGCGTCCTGATTGGTTCTTCTGCGAGCGCAACATGTAGCACAGGAAGGATCCTCCGCTTCCAGAGCAGCAGCAGAGCAGCAGCAGAGCAGCAGGCCAGAGAGGAGCACTGCTACAGCGCGGTCATCCACACCAGCAAACACCGGCCCCCGCCGCACCTACCTGCAGCTTCTGCGCCGCCGTGAACCGCAGCTCGTGCGCGAACGGGTTTCTGAACGGAGGCGGCAGCTCGCGCTTCTCCTCTCCATCCGCACGCGTCACGATCAGCCTCATCCTCGTCGAACCCCGATCAATTACCGTCACCGAAGCGCCGCGGTCTGCGCGTTATTATCTAGCGGTCCCGGAGCTCGAGGAGGGCTGCGGGATTAGGCGGAGCATGTATTTGACGATAGCGCAGCAGCAGTCGCTCAGTCCCGCTGGATGTCACGGAGGGGCAGAAGCTATCCTGCCGCGGTGCGCATGCGCGGGCCGCTCCGCCTCCGCTCACCCAAGTACAGGTCTCTGCAGGAAAGTAATGGGAGTTACCAGATCGGGGCGTTTTTAGACCATGGTTCCTGATTGGCTGACGTCATAGGGACGGTAGGTTTAGGGGTGGGGTTATGTAAGGTAGATCATTTTGATTGCATGATTCAGAAACACCCTGCATTTTGAAAACACCCATACATTCAGAAGCGCCCTCTTGTGCTCTGCAGAGACCTCAATCTCCCGCTCACTGTGACTGCGCATGCGCGGATGCGATGGGCGGCAACGCTTGAGAGCCTCAAGGATCCTCTCATGGGACATTGTTAAGTTTGGTTTGTTATTTAAGCATACAAATATATCTTATGTAATAAATAATTTGTTGCTATATGTATATGTATATACGCATCACATGACTCCTTTGGGAAAATGTACTCTTTGGTTTTACTGACTGCAAGAGGAACAGTATTTTTACTCAATTAATTTACTTATACTCTTGACCAAATTTCACATTCATAAGTTTAAATTTACTAATAATAAACACAATTTTATGGTTTTATGATATATTGACATCAGAGACTCCTTGAATAAGAAAGCTGTAAAAACTTTGAAAGCTTGTGAACTGTATAATATATTTATTTGATTTTGATATGTATATATGCATATATTGTGTCTTTGTTTTGAACTTTTATACGTACCTCACCCTGGCAACTCCTATTTGTTGTCATTTATTTTTCTCTCCTTTTCCTTTTTATTTTCCTTTCTTCTTTTTGATGTTATTTCTTTATAAAACAATGTATAATATTGTTATTTGAATAAAAAAAGGGGAAAAACAACAACATAATACAACAACAAATATATATAATTTAATAAAACTCTCTCTCTCTCTCTCTCTCATTAAATACATTTTCCACTAAAAAGTTTGAATAGTTTAAATATATTCCTTTCAAGGATCAGTATCTGAATTTTTAGGCAATGTCCCTACAATGGATTTTTAAATTCGTAAGATTCATTATCTTGTAATAACATGTGGCTGTGATTGGTCTATCCTGACCATCGGTGAGAAAAGAAACGTATCACGTGACAGCTCCTGCTATGTTATGCTCCAGTAATTTATATTCTTTAATTCATGTGCATTTACAAACTACACAGAGAGGAGTAAACACAGGGCATGCAATATATGGACCCATGCCAGTTAGAGAACACCAAGCCCTGTCTATTTATTCAACACACTTCTTCAATTCTAATACCGTTTTCTGGTGTGACTTTGGCTCCTGCTGCTTCTTCTGTTTCTATAGATCTGAAAAGCAGATGCTCATACTATAGTTCAGCATACGGGCCCTAGGGCCGCTAGAGCGTTACATGCCCATAACAATCAACAGGCGAGTGGAGTCTGATAGCCTACGCGTTAAAACTGTTCAGCTGTTTTAAGATTATATCATTTAGTATGTGCAAATATGAATTGAACTTGGTTTGGAAACGCTACTTTTTAAAATCACTTTCATATATAGATTTGATTGTTTTACCCTAGTCTCAGATCCACTCTTCCAGTCTTAAACTATGAAAATCCATTAGAGAGAAAAACGTGTTAAAGCTATGATAAACTGAACAAAGCATGAAATAAAGTGTTTCAACATTTATTGTATTTATATCAATTATTCAAAGGTTACAGCTGGCCCACAGTTATTGTATAATTTCCACCACACTGAACAATTTTGCACCTAATAAAGCTTTATTTACCAAGAAGAGTGAAGAGCATGTTTGAAATATGAGACATGTGAAGAAAACAAAACGACTATAAAATAAATGTAAATTTCACTTGTGAGTAGAATATTGTTTATTGTGTGCTATTCCAATCATGTTGTAAATTGGTGCACATTTTTCAGAGAATACTATGAAACCCAATAAATAATGTAAGATGTATTTTATGTTTTTCGTGTCCACCACAACAGCTGCAAGCAGCAATTACAGCGTCTGTCGCACAAATGGCAAAACGTGCACTAAATAAATCATCCCAAGCCTACTTGATTACCAAGAAAACAATCAAGAGCAGCTTGAGATGAACGCTGAGAATGTGTGTAGAAAACCATTTCTAAAAATCTAGATACAATTTACTTGTACAGGAATGTTCTTGTCATTTACAAACAAGCTGTAGGCCTAATTGATCAAATTATGCAAAAGTGTGTAATAATTGTGTGGTTTTATATGTTTCAGTATTAAAGAATTTACAAATCATGTTGAACAAAAACAATGTTTGTGTAATATTGAAATAAATGAATGCCTACATTTTAACTTCTATGTGATTTATCTTTATTGACATTTTTTTTTATTGTAAAGGGTCTACATTTATTTGTATAAGAAAACAAACAGTGTGCTCTTTCAGCTGTTTCAGTCTCCGTGAATATCTTTCTGAAACGCATCACAAAAATTAACCAAAGCTCAGTGAACACTTGACACACAGACATGAGAGATATGTCTAGAATGCTTGGTGTGCCTACTTTTAAATGAAGTAAGTCATATTGAAAACAAATATTCTATGATAACGTAAAGCGTATGAAACCAACGCAAGACACAGCGCGCAGTATTCACACGATAATCATCCACGGGAGACGCCCGGACATGTAAACACCACATCACCTCCGTAAACAAAGCAGCAAGATTCATCAAGTTCATCCAGGCTACTTTTTGTTTTTGTAAGAAGATGCGCTGTGAGAAACAAGCCTTGTATTTACCTCAGAAGAAGAACACAATGCCGCGTGTGGCTTGAGCCAGCAGAGTAGATCATTCTGATGAGTAGGGCATTACTTATATTAGTGTTATTGTGACTTAAACTTGAACGCATTTTACTAGTTGGACTTTTCCTAAACTGTAATGTCAGACTATAATATGTGGAATCGAGTGCAACATTTTGAAATATGATAGGCAACCTTTCATTGCATCTAAATGTTATACGACTAGTTTGACTAGTTTTTTTTTTTTTCTTAACACTGCATTTGTAACTTAGGTAACGTAATTTTATTGACTGTTACTGTAATCAAATTACATAAATTTAAAAAGTAATGCATTACATTATTTTCAGGAAAGTAATTAGAATACAGTACTGCGTTACTGTGTAACGCGTTATACCCAACTCTGTTGGTGGCAGAGTAAAGATCAGACGGATGTGTACAGTATATTGAAGCAGTGACACACTGACATTGGTTTTCCAGTTCAGTAAGTAATATGCTGAATCAGTGGATGCTCTTATGGATTCAGTGAGTTCATTCATTGAAAGATTTGTCAAAGTAGTAACTGAGTTAGTGAGCCATTCTCACACTTAGTGCTGGTGTAAGAGCCAGTGGTGTGTTGATGTCCATTGGGTGTCCTATTCATAATGAAACAGCATTTCTTCTTGTCTCTCTGTTCTGTATATCAATCATGCCAATGTTGCCAGGGTTACATGTTTTTTTTTAATGTTTCTTCCTCATTGCATCTTCATATTTTAAGGTTCACAAATACAGCACTTGTACAGTTAGAATATCATGAACGTCATTACTTTTTTTGGAGACTTACATGTTAATAATAATAACGTTTGTGTCTTGAAAGCTGTTGTTGATTCAGGACAGTGTGAAATGATCATACAGCTGCATTTGACACTGTAGTACATGAAATGTTGCTGGAGCGTTTAAGACTGTAGGCAGGGATTCAAGGGATTTGTTCGTAACTGGTTTGCTTTGTATTTTACACGGAGAACTCTCTCTGTTGAATTGAGACATTTTTCTTACTCTTCTGCTCACATTAAATGAGGGGTCCCACAAAGATCTATATTGGGCCCGGTTTTATTTTCCATTTATATGCTTCCTCTGGCCAATATTTGTCAGAAGCCCAATATATCATATCACCGCTATTCTGACGATACTCAGCTTTATCTCGGTATAAAGTATAACTTGGCTTTACATTCACGCTTTGGATGCTTTAATGGCATTAAGAAGTGTATGGCAGCCAATTTTCTCCGCCTGAATGAATCAAAGACTAAAATGATACTGTTTGGCCCTCTGAGTTCAACTTAACATATAATGAATCAAGCAGGCCTCTTTAAGTCTGGTGTACACATTGAAGCAAGGAGTCTTGGTGTTGTTTTTGTTGCTGAGTTAAAGTCTGATAAACATATAAACCTTTTCTGGCTTTTAAAAATGTGGAAGTAGTTGTGCATGCTTTTATTACATCTCCACTGGACTACTGTAATTCACTGCCTCATTATCAAGCCTGTAGTTTTGTCCAAACTGCTGCTGCTGGGCTTTTGACTGGGACTAGGAAATATACATAGTTCACTTGTGTTAGTGTCTCCCCATTGGCTTAGAATTCGGTATTTGATTTTACTATTTTTTTAAAGGGTTTAAAAGCCTTGGAACTCTGTTATGTTTGTATTTTTTGTTTTATTTATGTATGTATGTATGTATGTACAGTGCCTTGCGAAAGTATTCATACCCCTTCATTTTTTTCTTCACATTTTGTTATGTTGCTGCCTCACTGCATTATATGTTTGGATCATTTCAATCTCATCTTATTACTGGAGATATAGAGCGACGACTGATATTTATAGCATTTTATGTCAGTATCTGCTCTACTGTTATAACGATCTCATTGATTTGCATTATAAACATCACAATTTTATCATATACATATCAGCATCTGCAACAAATTCATATTTTTGCTCAGTTTGGACCTCTGAATAAAATTGACCAGGTTTTTTTTGTCCTTCATATTCTCACTATATCAGACTATATGAGACATAAACGCTGGATGCATCAAATGTGACAATCATCAAAAACACATATTTTTAAACAAACACATTTTTTTCACAATTTAAAAGATTTTGTATATATGTTTTGCCTAAAGGTTCAATAAAATGTATCAAAAATAGCAGCAAATAAACATGCGTTGTAAAGAGTGTCCTCTGGTGTTAACATGGAGAAAAACCTGTGTTCAGTGAGAGCTGATGGTTTTTCTACAGGCTTTGGCGCCCTCTTGTGGCTGATCACTAACAATGACAATAATACAGTTCAAC